CATCCTGTGTTGCCTGACCAGTGCTGTAATGAGGCTTTGTTTGGAATGTATTCATTTCACAGTGCAAAGCTTTCAAACTTGGCGTCAAATTCAACATCACACCACTGGTCGCACACTTTTAACACCAAATCTGCCTAGAGACCTTATGAGGTAAGGTACTTAAAGTGCTTTTGCCTGTTCATTGGTCAAGGATTTATTGCAGGATGGTCTACACTTGGGTTATTGCCTGCTCCTTCCAGACATGCTTACTCTATCGCCCAATTTTACTTCAGAAGTACCTACTACGTGAAAGGGAGCCCATGCAAAATAGTAGGCATATGTTCACTCTGCCAAAGGCCCGCACAACATTAAACTTCAATGTGACAATGCGTCCTTTGCACCAGAGCAGGACTTGGTTTTAACACTGGGAAGCATCTGATTTTAAGCTGTATTTCAGGCAAGGAACAAGTGGCTTATTTGACAAATAGAATATCCAATATCTGTCACAGTTTTTTGTACAGATTGGGGCCTCAATACAGCCATCTTTTTTCAGGGAACAAAAACGCCTGGCCAGTTTTCCTACTTCCATTTTTTTTCTCAGCCACAGTCAGACCCTGATATGATGTTACCTATAAGATGCAGAATCCATAGGGAATGAAGAGGATGTTAAGGCACTGTTGGAGGAAACTGGAATATTTATTTTCCCCACATTGCTACTACTGTATATTGAAGAGGGAGCTTCAGTCAACATGCTTGCTAATGTTAAGTTCATTGCCTCTGTCCTCAAAAGCCTTGAGATTGTGCAGATTGACTCTGTTCCATTTTGCCATGCCCCTTTTGAGCTCAGAGACAAAAATTTGCAAAACTTTCCCTGGTCATTAGAGACTAGAATGTACAGTTTATGATTCCTCCAAAGGTTTTCACTCCCCCAAAAATCTTTGCTGAACTCTGTCCAGTGGAAAACAATTGCAAAAAAGTGGGCTAGATTTCTCATTAATCCTGCTGTCTCTGTCCTTATTAAAGATGTTCCTACTTTCAAAGAATCAGCTGATCGAAACCTTGAGTTGCTCTTCAAAGCTACTTAACCTGGCAAGTCCAGCCCTGCAACCAGTTCTCGCTTCTATTTCTGTATCTCAAATTGCAGCCAACTTGGCGCTCTTTTACACTTGTTTTTGGGGTGGGTGGGTGTAAAAAACCCCGTGGATGAACTGCATTTTTACCATCCCTCAACCAATCCCCCCTTAACTAAGAAGGTAGCGGCTGGGGGTATACATGTGCCACAACAGGAATTAAGGAATTATGCCCCTGTTGTACATGGTGGGCATTTCCTGCTGAACCCAACCCATTCAAGTAAATGGGGCCTCTGTAACTTTTTCACAACCACACACTGCATGTGGTTGCATTTCGGTAGTCCAGCATTTAGGGGGTTAAAACTGTTTTATGCTGTTTGCAGAGTGATTTGAATGTGGGCCTGTGGGCCCCCCCCCTTTTTTTTTTAATTTTGTACATTATTTTGTTTACAATTGTAATTTAACTTTTATGGGGGCGGTTGCTTTTGCTTCTTTTTTTTATTTATTTATTTTTTTACATTTGAAAAAAAGAAAAATCACGGTCACCAGAGCAGTGCAGTGTACTGCTCTGATCAAAAATCAGTGACACTGTTGCTTCAATGTCATCATAGTGACACTGTACTGCTCTAATGACAGCAAGCAGGACTTTTAAGAATGGACCGGACCAGTGTGAAGAGTTCTATTAAGGCAGCACAGTGCCTAAATGGTTAGCACTTCCACCTGGCAGCACTAGGGTCGTTGGTTTGAATCCCAGCCACGGCACCACCTGCCTGGAGTTTGCGTGTTCTCCCTGTGCTTGCGTGGATTTCCTCCGGGTACTCCGGTTTCCTCCCACACTCCAAAGACATGCTGGTAAGTTAATTGGATCCTGTCTGAAATTGTCCCTAGTATGTGTATGTATGAATATAAGTTAGGGACCTTAGATTGTACGCCCCTTGAGGGTTAGGGACTGATGTGAATGTATAATATATATATATATGTAAAGCGCTGCGTAAATTGACAGCGCTATATAAGTACCTGAAATAAATAAAGTATAGGGTTTAAAGGGATTCATTTTTCATGCATTTTTCTTTCGCTTTAACGGAGCTGATCAAAAACTGATCAGAGTGAAAAGGGCCTTATTATGCATGTTTAATATGTAGACTTCTATTTAACCTGCAGGTGGAGCTCTAGTCTCCTTTTCACATGTTCACTTTTTATCTTTTGCTGAAAAGAAGCCAGCTGGTAACAGAACTGGTCAGGAGTCACTAGAGCAATGACTGATGGCTTATTAGACAGCAAAACAAGCTGCTTTACTGTGTGGTCTTTAGATAGCCCACAATGTTTCTTGTGATGTATTGAATGTTTATTTGCATCATGATTATGCATAGTTTATGCTAAGTTTCCTTTAAACCTAATTTAAGGTTTTACTCCATACATAAATTGTGCCATTACATGACAGACATCTGGTTTATCTAATTTTGCCTACTCCATATCTTTCAGTCTGGTCTGCATGTGCTTTTCCATGCTTACTGTAAAAATGAGTTATATTCATTTCGCCTTACAGATTTTGCTGTTTTTTTATTCTTTTGTAGGGTAAAAAAGAATTACAGGTCTCGCTCTTCCAAACCCTTGTATTGCTTATGTTCAATGAGGGAGAAGAATTCAGCTTTGAAGAAATTAGACAAGCAACTGGCATTGGTAACGTAGGCTAATGCTGATCTTTCCTGCAGTTTTCAGGTTAATCTTACTATGTATAAATAAATACTAATTTCTTGTACATCATTTCTTAGAGGATAGTGAATTAAGGAGAACGCTCCAATCATTGGCTTGTGGAAGAGCCAGAGTCCTTGCTAAGAATCCAAGGAGTAAAGATGTAGATGATGGTGACAAGTTTACTTTCAATGATGATTTCAAGCATCAGCTCTTCAGAATAAGGATTAATCAGATTCAGATGAAGGAAACGGTATGTTGTATATTTCATAATAAAATGTATATAGTGTGTGCCCTAGGGAGGAAAGAATGTCATACTGTGTGACATGGAGCATCTTCTGAGCACTGCCTCTGAAAAGTCTGTACTACTAAAAGTGTTTGCTGGTTTACACCTTCTCAAAACCTCCTCTGCCAGCTGTTAAAACTCTGATTTGGAGTTCTGCCAGTCCCCCTATTATACTTCTTTGCAGTGCAGGTGCTCTTTGTTGGCTGAATTATAGCAGATATTGAGGATTCCTGAAGTGAATGGGGTAGAGTGGGCACTTGCTGGATGCCCAAAGACGGCTTTGAAAAGCTGTAAATGCAGGAGTTCTTGCTTTTCTTGGCTAGTCTCTGTTAAAACTGAACTTCAATCGATTAGAAGGCCTCATTCCCATGGGCGTATTTTAGCTATACACCCATGTGAGGGCAGTGTTTGCCTATTGGATACATAGATGTTCTGTGCAACTTCTTGCAAGCTGTTCCATTTAAGTCAGTTGGGACGCAGGAGCTTCAAATGCACAGCCGCTGCTCCCAGTTTGACATCTGTGTGCACCTGTTGCTGAATGTAGACAGTATGGGCTCTGAGACATGCACCTACATTGATGTCAAGTTAGGAGCGGTGACTGTCCATGCAGGCAATTTGGGTCCTTGCGTGGGTTCATGCTTAAGTTCAGTATGAATGAAGCCCTAAAATCCCCCCAATTTATCTCTCTTTGGATAAGAAATAAACAATGCTTTCTTTGCTACCTGCTCTTCAACACATCCATGAAAAGGTTGGCCTGTCAACATCCTCCTGTACAATGCAGTGCTGCAATGTAGGTGGTTTTTGGAGAGGCAATGACCGATGAAGAGAAGGTGCTCTGTAGGACCATTGCAGCTGGGAGGAAGGCTTGCAGGAATGAAGAATAATGTAAATATTTTACTTCTTCCTGGGCTTAATGAGACCTTTTTCTTGGACGGGTAAGGGGGCACTGCCACTGACTAGCATTCAATATAAATATACAGCGGGTAAAAGAAGTATTGAATACATCACCATTTTTCTAGGTAAATATATTTCTAAAGGTGCTATTGACATGAAATTTGTACCACATGTTGGTTACAACCCATGCAATCCATACATACATACAAAGAAATCAAAACAAGTTCAGAAATTGGGTAGTGTAATAAAATGGAATGACACAGGGAAAATGTATTGAACACATGAAGAAAGGGAGGTGCAAAAAGGCATGGAAAGCCAAGACACCAGCTGAAATCTCTCATTAATTTTCACTGACAAGGTGCAGGATTGCTTTCTAATTACTATCAGCTGGTTGTCCTATAAAAAGGTGTCTCATTAACAAGCTGTCACAAAAGATACATCTCATGATGGGTAAAAGCAAAGAGCTCTGTGCTGTTTTTCAGCATGCAGTACTGGCAAACCTCATGTCATTGATGGAAGAATGGATGGTAAAATGTACCAAGACATTCTTGATAAAATTCTGCTGCCATCTACCAGGATGATGAAGATGAAACGTGGGGTGGACATTTCAGCAAAACAATGATCCCAAACACAGAGCCAAGGAAAATCCCAATTTGTTTCAAAGAATATAGAGCTGCTAGAGTGGCAAAGCCAATCACCTGACTTGTATCTATGGAAAGAACTAAAGATCAGATTTCATAGAAGAGACCCACGGAACCTTCAAGATATGAAGACTGTGTGGAAGAATGGGTCAAAAAAGCACACCTGAGGAATACATGCAACTAGTTTCCCCATACAGGCAGCATCTTGAAACTGTCATTACCAACAAAAGATTTTGTGCAGTGTGTTATATAGATTTTCAGTTAGCGTGTTCAGTACGTTTTCCCTGCTGCATTCCTTTTTAATACACAATTTCTGAACTTACTTGGTTTGGGTTCTTTGTATGTATGGATTGCATGGCTTGTTACCGACATATGGTGAAAATTTCCTGTCAGTAGCACCTTTAGAAATATATTTACTGAGACAAATGGTGATGTGTTCAATACATATTTTATCGTGCTTTGCAGCCTGAAATGAAGACACACCATTTTTTGTTTTATCCGCTGTATTTACTCAGTGCAGCTTATAACATCCAAGTGAAAGATATAACGTCAACAAAAAATAAAAATCAGTCACTGAGTTGGAAAAAGGATCCACCCCCTTGTGTCAATATTTTGTTGAACCACCTTTTGCTTCATTTACAGCTTTTAGTCTGTTGGGATATGTCTCTACTAACTTTGCACATCTAGACTTTGCATTACTTGCCCACTCTTCTGTGCAATACTGCTCAAGTTCAGTTAAATTTGATGGTAACCATTTGTGGACTGCAGTCTTTAAGTCATTCCACAGATTTTCAATAGGGTGCAAGTCTGGGCTATGGCCATGTAAGGACATTCACCTTTTTCTTCTTTTAACCACTGTGTGGACATTTTTGCTGTGAGCTTTGGGTCACTGTCATGTTGGAAGGTAAACCTCCTTCCCATTGGCAACTTTCTGGCAGAGGGCAGATTTTCCTCAAGAATTTGACAGTATTTTGCCCATCCATTTTTCCCTTCTATCCTGACAAGTGCTCCAGTACCTGTTGCACAGAACCCCCCCCCCCCCCCCCCCCCCCCATAACAGGATATTACCACCATTAGGCTTTACTGTAGGAATGGTGTTATTTCACATCATTGAGGACAAATAATTCAATTTTAGTCTCATCTGACCAGAACACCTTTTTCCATGTGGCCTCAGACTTCAAGGTGCATTTTGGCAAAGCTCAGTCGTGAAGGCATGTGGACTTTCTTGAGGAGTGGCTTTTTCCTTGCAAAACTTCCATACAAGCTACATTTCTGGAGAATTTGTGATGTCACATGCACACAGTGACCCCTCTGTCATAAATTCCTGCAACTGCTTCAGAGTTGCTGTAGCCCTCTTGCTAGCCTCTCTGTCCAGTTTCCTCTTGGCTTTTTCATCCAGTTTGGAGGGACATCCTGGTCCAGGTAAGGTCTGTGTCGTACCAAATACCTTCCACTTCTTAATAATAGACTTCACTCTGCTTCTAGGCATTGATGAGGCCTTTTTGATTTTATTTTTTTTTTTGTATCCATCTCCTGACTTGTGCCTGTCCACAATCTTATCCCAGAGATCTTTTGACAGTGCCTTGCCACCAATAGTTAATTGTTTGCTTCATTTGCACTACCAGACTGAAGTGCTCCAGAAAAGCTCTTTATACGCTGAGCTAGTCAAAATGACCACGGCTGATCATAGTTAAGTCAAATGGCTTTTTGTGCCATTGAAAAGGTGCTTAGCTACACCTGATTGTGTTTACAAGTCATTTTTAGGAGGAGGTGATCCTTTTTCCAACTCAGTGATTTCTGCACTGAGTAAATACTGAGTAAATACTGGATAAAACAAAAACTGTGTTTGTCTTCATTTCATGATGCAAAGCAACAAAATGTGATTCTTTTCTCTACCCACTGTATATGCCTTCTACCCTCTTATGGCTGAGCATGTGTTTTGGAGAGTCAAAATGACAGGTTTATAAGAAGGAAAAAAAAATGGCTTGTATGTGTAAATAGCTGAAAAATGAATTTAAGTGTCAGTGCTTGGTATAGATAGATATACTGTAGATGAACAATAAAAGGGTTCTTTTATCTCCATTTTGTATGAAATTTATATCGCATATCTTTCTAATCCATAGGTACCTGAGGGGATTTAATATGAGATACCATTATACCTTTCTTTGTAGTCCCATTGGGAAACAGGTTAGAATATAGGGGGTGTGTCCAGCCATTTAGATATACATTGGACAACATTCTCTGTTTTTATTGGAGGAGGGTGTGTGTTTTTTTTTTTTTTTTTTTTTAATTAGCTTGGTTGGCAACAAAAAATAGATTTATAGTACTGAAATACTGCATAGAGGTACTGGCAAGTTAGTTGTTCAAACTAGAGGTTTCAGATCTTTTGACACAAGGCCATTCAATTTAACCAACAAAAAAATAAATGCAGGTTTGAAAACCTTCATTTACAGAACCCTATACAACTAGTTGATCCAAAGCAGTCATTGAGAAGGACAGCATGGAGTATCGCACATGGCAAGGACAGAACAGCCATGGACAGATAATGGTGAGTGAACTTTCGCTTGTCATTTTTACAATATTTTTATCTACGACGGATAGAATAAAATCACACTATCATTTTTTATTTCAACAGATATTGACCCCTTATAATGTTTTCCTCTTATCTTAATCGTACAGTACAGGACACACAGCATGCATACATTATATATGTATAGGCGTGTACCTTCAGGTGATTTAGACACTCCCCTTGGGTGCCTCCACTATAACGTTACCCTACTTTGTGCATGCTTAATTTTGTGCTAAAGTCTGAAGTGTGATGGACCTTTTAGGAAGAAAATCAGCCTTAGCTTAACTAGTTTTTTATTTTTCTTTTATTCAAATGTCAACATAGAAGCAGTGTATCTGGATCTGACAAAACATCGGTAAGACCTTGGGAACTGTTCCTGGACCCCCACACTGTGAAGACAGCCTATAATTTTGCTTCAGGCACTGGATCCTGCATGGGTGCTTACCTTTGCACTTGGTGTCACGCATTATTAGCGGCAGGATGCTATACAGGTCCAGGGCCATGTTCGCTAACGACCCCAGTTCCTGAAAACTGCTTCAGGGTATGTCCACCCTGGCAGGTTGTATGCAGTCCAGTGCCATGGACACATAGGATAGAGTAAACTTTTTAAACTTGGTGCTAAAACAGAAGCACCCAGAGACCAGTCTCAGGTGGCGGACCAAGTGATATCACACCAAAAGTTGCCCTTATAAGTTATTCAAGGCGTTTTTCCCTGCCCTGTTGCCACAAAGATTCCTTACAGGGTGGTCTAAACTTAGGTTACCACATACTCCTTACAAGCACACTATTCCGTGAGTACCCCAAAGGGGAATACCCTTACTTGTAGTTCTGGCATAGGGGAGTCCAATGAAAAATTGCAGGCGACCATTTAGTCTGCTGAAGGTTTGCGCAACATTCAACCTCCAGAATGACCATGTGTACCTGGCATCAAAGCGGGACCCAGTTATATCCCTGGTCTCAGCATCTGATTCTAGCTTTATTTCAGGCACACAACAGTTTGCCTATTTAAATAAAGCCGGATTCTCTGCATCTACTAAAAAAAAACAAAAAAAAAAAAAAACGCTTCGTGCAGAGCTTGAAAACGCTATGCCTCTTCTCTTACTCCCATTTCTCAACCTAAGTTGGATCCCAATATAACGATCCTAGAGGATGGAGACACAGAAGGGAATGAAGAGGCATTGGAGGAAGCTGCAGAAGATTTTTCTTCTCCACACTGCCACTGTATTGAAGAGGGAGCTTCAGGAAATATGCTTGCTAATGTTGAAAAGCTAATTTCCTTTGTCCGCAAAAATATTTTTGGCGTTGTACGCCCTGCCTCTCCTCTGTTCCACTATGCCCCTTTGGGTACAAATAGACGTTGAAAAGACTGCAAAACCTTCCCTGTTCACGAAGAGCGAAGAGATAGAGTATGCAGATTGAGTGACTCCAACCCCTTTGCCTCACTCCCTCAAAATCTTTGCAGAACTTTCCGAGTGGAAAAAGAGTTTTCAAAGAAATTGGGTTCTTGTAGTTGGTGTTGCTATCCTTTTCCCTAACATGTCACTGGACCTCCTGAAAATGTTTTTTTTTTTTTTTTTTTCCTTTCCTTTCAAATATTTTGCAGATAAAAAATTTGAAGATGCTCTCAAAGGCTCTCTTTACTCTTGTACGCCCAGCCCAGCCCTGCAACCAGTTCTCGCTGCCATTGCAGTATGTCAGACTGCAGCCAACTACGTTTGGGAAATAAACAATCCAACATGATACTTTATCACAAGATCTTGCTTTTACTAACAGTTGCCTTCTGCTCTGCTTTTTTTTTTTTTTTTTGGGATGCCCTAGAATAGGTCATGAGATAAATTTCTAAAATGGCTCGAATCTCCGTTCACATGCGCAGAATCTTGTGGCTAAAAGCATGGACAGCTACTAGTAAAAGGCGCCTCACATGTGTGGAAGATGTCAGGTGGGAAGATTTTACTTCCACAACGGAAGATCACCAACTACCACCCCCCTCCCCCCAGGAGCCCCTATCAAACACACAGCCTGATTGCCCTTCCTTTCAGTGCAAGGCTTGGCCCACAAAAGGCCACCAAGCCTTCCCCAAAGCCATCATCTTCACAGTGAGGGTGTGCCCTCACACCTAAGAGTAGGAGAGCGTCTGTTATGGTTTGTCTGGGTCTAAGACATTTCATGCCTGTTGGTTCAGTCGGTGAATTCAAAAGGGTACAAAAGAGTTCATAACTACCTCCTCACTGCTTTTGTTCTTGAGTCATCCAGTTTGATCTGCAGCGTTGACACCCCCCCCCCCCCCCGAAGGGACACCTAATCAGGGTGTGCAGTCAGACAGTGAAACCGCCGTGGCTTAAATCATCAAGGGGGCATCAGGAGTCTGGCTGCCTTGAAGGAATCAAACTAGTTATCTCTGCAGTCCACATCTCAGGAGTGGATAGCTGGAAACCTGGATTAGTGCAGCCGCCATCACCTGGACCAAGGGGAATGGGCCTTTCATCTAGATGTCTTAATCTCGTATCTTGCATTTAACAGGCAGTGAGAAGGTGTTATATCGCCTCCTTACCACCTGCTCTAGCCTCTAGGACCCCTTCATTTGAGTGGGCTGTGATTAGCAGAAACTATGCCTGCCAAAAGCGAAGGGGTGTAATTCTTATCACGGATGTGCAGCAAAGCATCGTAGCCACAGCTTATATACACCTCAGGCCACTGCCTCTGAAGCTAAAGGGGCCTACTATTAGGAAGTGGTGAAATCACAGGTTTTGCAGGCTAACCCTGCATTCATATCCATGGACCTGTGGGGGTAAACGTTTATACACATCTATCTCCAATCCAATGCAGTCCACTTAAAAAAAAAAAAAAAAAAAGGGGGGGGGGGGGTTTCGTTCCCCTCAATCTAGGTGGATCAGTTTGGAAGACAATAGGGTGTAAACAGACAGCGAGTCTGTTCACTCTTGGCCGCTCATAGATCAGAACGGGTTGTGTCTGCTTTACATAAATTGAGTGGGGACACACCCTGTCATCCACCCACTGTGCTCTGATCAGCGGAGGATCAGCGGACAGATCTTCTGTTGATTTTAAATGGAGTCCGCCCTGTGTGAGAGGGGCCTAAGCATGCTCATACTGTGTTTGATAAGTGACTTGGTAAAATTACAGCTCTGAAGAAAAATTTAATTTTATTTAATTTTCCCATTTTCCTAAAATTGTGACAAAAAAATTACAACTTCAAAAACCTCACCAAGCCCGTTACTAAATATCCTCGAGTGTCTACTTTCCAAAAAGGGATCTTTGGAGTGTTTGCACTGTCCTGGCATTTTAGGGCATCAGAAAATGAGATATGTAGTAAGTACATCAGGACTGATCAATTTTCATAGAGATAAATATATATATATATATATATATATATGAGAGATTTCACACACCCTAGTTTGTATACTTTATAACTTTCACACAGACTGATTTGTTTTGGTTTTTTTTCACCAAAGATAACATTTTGGCCTAAATGACTGAGGAAAGATTTTGTATTTGCAAAGTGAATAAGTTACTGAATAGCTGAGACATTGTGCAAGTGACATGCTCGGTTTCTGGCAGTAGAGGGGAAATCACTCGTGCCCCTACAGGAAGACATAAGTACTTACTGTATGTAGCAAATGCTATTACAGTGTACAACAGCAAACCCAGCATCCATGCTGTTATGGCATTGGAAGAATTTTTTACCAAGCTGGCCCAAAGTAAGGTTTTAAATTGATTATGGGAACATGTGCATATATTGTAGTGATGTACTGCAAATGTTGTTTTTTAATTTTAAATATAAAATTGTTGAAGACCTCTAATTTAGTGTGTGGGTGTGATGTGTGTGATTTTATATCTGATCTTGTTTAAAGGATATCATATATTCATTATAGTAATTAGATGTTAACATGACATAATACAGATTGCTGTGCATGCTCATACTCATTGGTATTTTTTGCACTTCAAGGTGGAAGAACAAACCAGCACTACAGAGCGAGTATTTCAAGACCGGCAATACCAAATTGATGCAGCAATTGTTAGAATCATGAAGATGAGGAAAACACTTGGCCACAATCTCTTGGTGTCAGAGGTGTACAACCAGCTTAAATTTCCAGTAAAGGTTGGTAATTGTAACAGAAGGAACCCTACTGTAGCTGCAGGCCCTGTAGAATTGATTTTTTTTTTTATTGTAAGGTTGCTGCTTTCTGTTCCTTTGCTTCTCCCTAGAATGTGTCTGACACTGCGTTAACCGCTTCCTGACAGAAACTTCTACAGGGTGGCATGGGTGCGCAGTCACGTGTGTGTACACACACACACACACACACACGATTCCTGCGTGTGCCCCCGTCGGCCTGCTGGTGCCGTGATTTGATCCCCCAGGGATCAATCCGATTTAGGCCAGTGATGGTTGGCCTAAGTCGGATGATCAATCCCTGTCCTATCAGGGATCTTCCTGTACCTGTGTTTACAGTTACACAGGTACAGGAAACAATGACATCTTCTCTCTCTGGGCACATTCCGCCCCAGAGAGAGAATACTCAACACAGTGAGTATAAGCAGCACACTTTTACAGTTTAAAACACATTTAACCCCTTGATCGACCCCCCCCCCCTTCCCCAGTTAACCCCTACACTGACCTGTCACCAGTTAGTACAGTGTACAGATTTTTTTTCTGATCACTGTATTGGTGTTGCTGGCAACTTCAGATAGTGTTCGCTTCAGTTAGCATCAGCTCACTTTCCCAGATAGCGGCAGATTGCTCGTCAGTACACCAGTAAATACATTTAACCCTTTGATTTCCAGTAACATAGCTAGTATAGTGTCTGAACGGATCAATATCTTTGATCAGATCAGCACTATACCAGCGTTCACATTAGTATAGTGTCCACAAAAACGCAGCCTCGGCACCTGCGTTTAGCCCCAATGCTTAACCCCCACCCCTTTTACCCCTGCAAGTGCAGTGCAGTGTCAGTAGGTCCCTGTTACTTGATACATTGCACACAAAACCGCAGTGTTCACAGAATCAGGCCTGATCTTTGTTAGCCCTTGCCAGTAAATTTTTTTTTTTTTTGTAGCGGTTCAAGCAGTCCCTGACAGCCATGTGCTCTTTTGTATGTGAGTCGCACTAGGTACCTATAAATTTAGTGTCCAAAATGTCAATGGAAAGGTACTCTAGTGTAGAGGCCTACAGGATTCTGAGCTTTCAGGTGAGAGCGATGGGGACGAATCCCTGACACAATCAGCCTCAGAATACGAATCTGTAGACAGCAGCGGCACCCTGACAGATAGCTCAGACGATGGGGAAGAGGTCCCTGCTAAGATCAGGCATACCTGACCCCATTCCCAGGTTGTTGAGATGTTCCAAACGCATGATGACACTCATATGCAGCAGAGTGGCAGTACTAGTGCCGCTCTACCTTTTGATGAACTGGTGAGCACCAGCGGCCTAGTACATCCTGGTCTTTCACATACCAGCACTGCAGTATCACTTGGTGACATGGCGAGTCCCATAAGTGTAGTACAAGCTGGTACGGTGGCAAGCACAAGTAGTGTCCCCGCAGCCACAAAGAATTTGCACACCGGCCCGTAGAGGCCCTAGTATCCTTCTGGATGAGCTTGCAAATCCTGATTGGCAGCCCACAATTCTGCAGCACCCGTACTTCCCCCATTCACTGCCCAACCTGGAATTAAGGTGGAAACAGCAAATTTAAATACACCCCTTGATTTTTTTGGAGCTGTTTTTTCACAGAAGATGTGTATGCATTGATTGTGGATCAAAGCAATTTATATGCACAACAGTTTATCGCCGCCAACCCATATTCAAACCTTGCCAGACCATTCGCATGGAAACCCATTACGTTCCCCTAACCCTCAACATGGGCAATACTTAAAAAAAAAAAAAAAAAAAAAAAAAAATTTATTGCGGTTGTATTGGTGCACAGACTCGATTTTCATCATATGCCCGTGTTCTCTGCTGCCATGGCCAGGCATAGATATTGTATAATGTGTTTTTATGCATTTCAATGACCATACACTGTTATCCTCGGGGTGACCCTGAATTTGACTGGCTCCACAAAATTCGGCCCCTCGTAAATCACCTTAACCAAAAAAATGTGCAGATGTCTTTACTCCCCAGTAAAACATCTGCGTTGATGAGTCCCTTGTTAATTTTTTCTGGCCGCCTTGCATTCAAACAATTTTCTCCCCAGCAAGCGTGCCAGATATGGGGTTAAGTTGTATAAGACCTGTGAGAGGGCAACAGGCTGTACATATAAGTTTTGGATTTACGAGGGAAAAGATAGTCACATGGAGCCCCCCGGATGCCCAGACTACATGGGGAGCAGGGGCAAGATAGTTTTGGGCTTGGTGTCATCCTTTCTCCATATGGGGTACCACTTATACATGGACAATTTTTATTCATGCATGCCCCTATTTAGACATTTGTACAGTCTTGGAATTGGTGCATGTGGCACCGTGCGACCTAATCGCTTGGGCTTCCCCCAACGGCTTGTAAATACCCATCTTAGAAAGGGGGGAAAAATCCTCCTTGAGGAATTGCTCGCAGTGAAGTGGAAGGAAAAAATGGGATGTTTTCGTCCTGTCTTCCATTCACACCGCAGACACGACCATCCAAATTGCCATGGCAGCTGGTGTTGTTGAGAAGCCCGTCTGTGTCCATGACTATAACCTTAACATGGGAGGGGTGAACTTAAACAACCAGATGATGAAGCTGTGCTTGGTTTCCCGAAAAGCCAGTCACTGATACAAAAAAGTGTCTGTTTATTTCAATTGATTCTATATAATACTTTTGTGCTTTACAAAGCAACTGGACAAAGTGGATCCTTCCAAGAAATTCCAGGTAGAGATCATCACGGCCCTTTTGTATCCAGAAGGTGCTGTGGCCCAAACCCCCAACACAGATGCAGTGAGCCGGCTGCACGAGAGGAATTTTCCCGATGCTATTCCTGGTACCGCAACCCAAAGGACACCCCCAAAAAAGATGTGTCTGTTGCAGACATGAAATTAGGCATGACACCCGCTTTTTTTGTCCCTCCTCTCCTGGCCAGCCTGGTCTCTGCCTCAAGGACTGCTTCTGTTGCTACCACACACTAGTGGAGTATTAGTATAGGGTACAGCATGGCAGGGCACATATTTACACAGGGTCTCGAAAGATGTTGGGTAGTCAGGAAACTGGCTATCACATTTGGAGAGACCCTACAATCTATTTTTTTTTACTTTTTAAAAACGAAGTACAAAAATTAAAAACCCCCCCAAAAATAAAAAGCTTAAAAACCCAAAATAGTTGTGTTTTTTTTTTTTTTTTTTTTTTGTCGTTGATACTGTTCTACTTTTACAATTTTACTGTTTTATTGTTAACCATTGCTGTTTTCTTTGCAGGAATGTTATTCAACTGCAGCACCGACTTGTTCTGACAGCAACAGGGCTTCTCTCAGAATATATATAAGTAGATGTGTGCAGTGCTGTTCGATGAGATTTTTCACTCGCAGTTAAAAAAAGAGCATGTATGGGGGCCTGGAGTGGCCAGTGGGTGGGTGGCCCCTATGCTTCGGCATATATATTTTTATAATATTTTTTGGCACATTTCATGTGTGCCCACCATTAGAAGTGGATTAATGCGGGCGGTATATTCTAATGGTGGGCATACCACACGCTTTTTCTGGCAGAGATTTCTTCTTTTTTTTTTTTTTTTTTTCATTCAGCCCACAGGCTGCATAAAAAAAAGAACATGGCATATACACTCAAAAAGGACCAGCGACGTACTGGTACATCACTGGACTTTGAGTGGTTATACTGGTATCGTTTTTGTCAGCCAGCGATCGGCTTTCATGTAAAAGCAATCCTGGTGGCTAATTAGCTGCAGGATTTTACAAGCAGTGCGAGAACATGCCCCTCCTCCCCCGCTTCCTCCCATGGCCTTCTCGGGCAGTCTTGTGCCAATGGGGGGAACCTGACAATGCTGCCGGTGTTTCTGCCAGCTGACCATAGAGCTGATTGGAGACCGAAATGGTGCCAATCATCTCTATAGTCTTAAGAAATCGGAAGCTACGAGCATTTCATCACTTCAGTTTTGCAGGATATAAACAGCGCCATTTGTAAATTGGGAAAGCATCTGTTCACATCGATCTTTGTGAGATTAGATAATGTAAGGGCAGAGGAGATATCTAGAGTCTGATAGACCCCAGATTTAAGAAAAGAAAAAATATGTGACAATGCCCACTGAAGTTGTAGGGATATTTGCATTCCCTGTGATATCCTTCAAAGTAATCAAAAAAAATGAGGGACAGTGTAAAAATAATTGAAAAGATCAAAATAACTTAAAAGCACCCTCACCCCCCGCACACGTGCACAAGCATTCACTCTGTGAAAGTATGTAAACAGCAGTTGCACCATGCATGTGAGGTATTGCCGTGAACGTCAGGTCAAGGGCAGTAATTCTAGAACTAGACCTCCTCTGTAAATCTAAAGTGGTAGCTTTTTAAAGGCTTTTAAAGCGTTGCCTATGGATATTTAAAACTACGCATGCCCTGTACAGTGGCGACAAACTGCATACATTTTTTTATGTCATGTTTTTACTATTTATCTATTTACTCGGCATACCATCATCTTTTATATTTTACCAAATAATTGGCCAATATATTATGTTTTTTTGTGAATTTCAAAGTAAAAAAAAAAAATATATATATATATATATATATATATATATATATATATATATATATATATATATATATATATATATTATATATATATATATATATATAATTTTTTTTTTTAAATTTGCATTTGAAAAATTGCTGCGTACTATGTGACATAAATTGCAGCACCCACCATTTTATTCACTGGGGTGTCTCCTTTAAAATAATATATAATGTTTGGGGAGTTCAAAGTAATTTCCTAGCAAAAAATACAGATTTTTTTTTTTGATGTGAACAAAGTGTCAGAAAAGGCTTGTCTTCAGGCGGTTAGAAGGGTGAATAATGTGTGGCTTAAACTTCTAATGCTGGCCATAAAATGCCCCCACCCCCAAAATGACCCCTTTTTGGAAAGTAGACACCTCAAAGTATTTGCTGAGAGGCATGTTGAGTCAATAGAAGAATT